GTGATGGAGGCGCACGGCGGCGCTTGGGGCAAGGAGGCACGCCGCGCGTTAGCCGTCCTGGCGAAGCGCGCGGCGGACGCCACGGGGGAGGACCCCGCCATCGTGGCGGCGGAGCACGCCCAGTGACTCTCGCTACTCCTCCAGAAGGAGAACGCGCAGGCCGTGCTCTTCAGGCTGCAAAGTGCCGGCAGGGCGCCTGCGGCCAGACTGGCAGCGGCCACGGCGGCTAGAGCGGCCGACGTTGCCTGAGACGACCGCAACCACGACCACCCCCAACGCCCCGCCCCGGCAACCTCTTCCCCTTGACCCAGACCACGACCTCGACCACCCCCGACCGCGACCACGACCAGGACCACAACCGACGACCCCCAGACCCACGACGACCCACGACGACCCCCCGACGGCCGCCGCCGCCCCCCGCCCGCCCCCAACGTGCGCGCTTGCCTGCTGCTGCCTTTGCCCCCCTCTCTTCCCCTCTCTTGCATGTTGGCGCCTGCTCGCCGTGTTTTTCCTCTCCCCCCTCGTCCCTCGTCCTGTTCCTCCTCCTCCTCCTCCTCCTCCTCCTCCTCCTCCTCCTCCTCCCCCTCCTCCGGCAGCACAGCGTCTTCGCCTTGCGATCACCAGCCCGCGAAGGCGGCCAGGCGCGGCCAGCTGCGGTTTTGGTTCGTTCCCTTTCGGTCTGGGTCAGGGGCTGCGGCTCGCAGGCAGGAGGGAGTTTAAGCACGCTAGACGAGTGCCCGGCGAGTCACTCACGGGGCTCCAGCGTTTGTCGGAATATGCCGCGACCCATTTTTGACGCTGACAATCCCCCCCTGCCAGACGCCGACACACACACACACACACACACACACACACACACACACGCACACACGATTGGATCAATATGCAGAGCGCGTGGAGGCCATCCGCCGGATGCACATGACAGGGAGCAGGCGTGCCTTACCATGCGATGGCCGAGCGCTGGAAAGACGCCACGTGTGTATCCAGCCAACGCCCCAGCCCGCCATGTCATGTGCAGCCAGCTTCATGGTCGGAACATGGCCGCAAGAACGCTGAACGAGAGAACGGGCCCCATCAGAGAAGGCCAAGGACCTGTGGATGGATGGGAGGGATTGAAGTTGAATTGAAGGGGAGAGGGAGTGGGGAGAGAGATGGGAATGGTAACGGCCCTTGGAAACACATATCAGCAGAGTGCGGAGAATGGCTGAGGAGCAAGGATGGATGGACTGACCCCAACCAAGCACCATATAGCAGCTCAGATTAACAGACGGGTCGAAAAATAGAAGGTCGGCTAGAGGGGACACGGCGTGCATTCGGATGGCCAAGAGGTCAATGGAGTGCATATCCATAGGCATGTGCATATTGTGTGGTATGTTTGCCCAGCTCAAGTGCGCATGGTGGAGATGATGGGAGACAGTCGCGCTGTAGGAGAAAACCTGCTTGAAGAGTAATGGTTGCGGCTCTGGCATTGGCCAGGAGAATTGTACTCGTACTGGTAATTGTGGCCAATGCCTGCCGCGGGTCCTGCCTCGATCATGTTGCGCCTCCTTTCGCCCCCCTTTGCGGTTCGCCGCCGTGCGATTCACGACCCCGTCGCAAGCCGCAATGACCTCATGGAACTTCGCATGGTTCCGTAAGTCTTGGACCATATCCTAGTGACCCTGTCCTCGTCGATATTCACTGACAAAGCCAATGTCCCTCCATGTCGTACGGTGAGAGGGTGAGAATCCTCGTCCACACAAGTGGGATACCAGTGTGTTCTGCAGCATGTATTTGAGGCCGAAACACATGTTGCGTGAGGCTCGCACCAGAGGCGGTCGGTCAGGGGTACCCCATATGCCGCGCCCCAGAATGTAGTGACATATGTGTTTCTGTCGTCAGCCGACTTGTATTCCAAAACAACCATGTCCCTGAATTGGCCTTTGGCATACATGTTAATCGGCAAAGGTGTGGACAAACGGTTCGATGTCCGAGCGATCCATCATTTTTTTTGTTTGCTGTGTTCGTGCGGGTAAGAGAGCTTGCACCTGGACGATGGCGCAGTGCGGCAACTTCTCGTTCAAGCGCCACCAGCTTGTTCTGGGTGGTTGCGTCGATGGAAAAGCCAGATGCCGATCTCGCAGATGATGGTCTTGACGTGTACTTTGATTCAAGAGCTTCCATCCGTTTCGTAAGGTCGTCGACGTTCGATATTCTGGGTGTCACTGCGTTTTTCAAGTCGTGTTGGGACACGCCGTGCTGCTTGATAGCGGTGATATATTTCCGAATGGGGTCCCGCTGTGTGCGTAGAATTCGCTCCATGGAGCTGTTAAAGGTTCGTTGGGAAGAACGGTGGCTCTGGCGAGATCATCTTGAAGTCGCCATTGACGTTAAATTCATCAGCAGTTCCACTGTCATCTCCGAGCCCATCCATTTCATCAAGCGGACTGTGGACCCGATGTTGTTTGAACAACAGCCTGACAGGGGTACCGGGCCGTCGTGCGTCGCCGTCGCCCGAAGAGGCGGAATGCGAGAAGCGGGAATAGTACAAGTAAGGTGAGGAATAAATTTGGTCTCAAATGCGACCTTCTTGACCCGTCAGAAAAGAAGACGGTGGGAGAATTTGGAGGGACTCATTTAGCCCCTCGGCGATTTGAGTAGTGATCAGTGAAGGCATGTACATGGTATGCCGGTCCATGCGATCACTGTGATTTTCGTTTCGCGGAATCAAAACAGGAGGGCGTGCGCAGACTACCCCAGATGCAGATCCTCGTCGTTATCCCACTTGATTGTGCTCAAGGCCCGCTTCCCGACGGGCAATGTCTCTGCGCAACGCACGGTGGTCATGGCGTCCGCGACGTAGGATAATAACCTATGCTATAAAAAATCTAAGGGGACAATCTTCATCGACTCGGAGCTTCGAAGGATAGCCCAGGGTTCTGCGAGCCCATCGGGCATAACAAATTATCGTAGGGCACGCGTTTTCGGACCGATTCCTCATTCAGTGTGCCTGCTGTATCTCGTGAGTCTTGAACGTCGGCCGCACCGACTGCAGCAGCAGCAGCAGACTGACCGTGATGACGCGCATCGTGCGGATGGTCAGGACCTTGAAAATGTAGTGGAGTGGAGTGTCTGGAGCATCGGAAGCATGGAGTGTAGTGTCTGGAGCCTCACGTGCGTGGGGTTCGACGTCCAGTCGATGAACAAGCCAGCCATCATCGGAAGCATGCAGCGCAATAACTTGAAGACGCGCATGAGGTTTACGAGTGTCGCCAGTAGCACTGGCATCTAGAATGAGCGGGCACCGAACCTTGCATGCTCGCGGTGCAAACGACTGAGCAACTCACCAGCTTCAACAACAAGCAATGCACCATCATGTTGGCCGTGAGCGTTAGCATTACAAGCGGTACCATCAACAAGATGAGCGTAATTGTAAGGAAGCTCGACGTGCAATTGAGGGGCACGTTGGTACTGATGCGCGTGCAGAAGAGGGTCGAACATAGAAGAGACGGCAACACACTCACGCAGAGCCAGTAACCATCTGGGAACAAGGACCTCGGTCTGCATAGCAACAGAGTCGTGAGAGTTGGACACCGACATCTGTTCACACATCGGGGCAGGGCCATCAGAAGAGGAGCATGAGTCGCATGGTCATTGAAATGTGGCTCATGCGGGGTTGGTGCCTCGTCGGTCGCACGCCATCATCATGGGGACAAACTAGGAAGATAAGTTGTATGAGCGCAGCCTAGACTCGAGTGTGAGCCGGGCAAATCCGTCATGGATGTGCCTGGGTTCAGAACGGGCTCGGAAGGCAGTGACCATGCAGGCGGGAGCGCTTGAGTCAGATGCCGTTGATGCTCACTTCCCCGAATTAAGCTGGGAGGCGACCTTCTGCGAGCTTGGGAATGTCCTCTGCTGCGCACAGGCCGATCGGCAAACCAGACCCTTGCGCAGCGTGCGGTCTGGCAGCGGGCCGTGCAGAGACGAAGTGCACTGGGATCACTCCGATGGAGCAAGAGGGCGTCTAACTGCAGCGTCTGCTCTCAAAAGGGATGCCTCAGCGTGCTCGTCTCCACGTCGGCAGCTTCGCCCCGCGCGGGGAGGTGCAGTGCTGGTCGGTGGGTTGCTGGGCACCGCGCCACCAGCCAGAGCAACATTCAATCGCTGTGCCTCCCAGGATGGGGAAAGGGGGATCCGGCCGACTCCGGGAACCCCGGGTCCAACAGACTGGCGCCGCAAACTCACTTCCGCCGCACTCAGCCGCCCTCGGACGTCGGTTCCCCTCCCGCTCTGTACTTCCACAGGCATTCCCCGAGGAAGAGACCCAAACATGCGACGTCCAGATATTTTTCAGGACGGCGTCCCCAGAAGTCCAGACCCTGTCCCCGGGGCCAGTTTTTCATCCTGAGTCGTTTATTGACGGTCCCGGGGCCCAGGGAGCGCCCCCAAAGGCCGAAAACAGTGTTCTTTTAAGGACGCTATCATGTCTGGGGACCGTACCATCTCGATGCCTCGAGGGCGAGGCCGTCTGGAGCGCCCAGTGAGGGTCGCGGTTGCCAGTGCGGAGAGAACCTTGGGCGAACGCCCGGCGGTCCCGTGGCATGAATGATGGGCCTGTTTTCCACCACCACACCCACCACCATAAGTTGGAGGGGGAGGGGATCCTCCTCCTCCTGCTCCTCCTCGTCCTCCTGCTCCTCCTCGTCCTCCTCCTCCTTCCCCCCTCCAACCTGTGGTGGTGGTGATGGTGGAAACAGGCCCATCAACGAAGGCCTCTGCCGCGCGTGCGCGAGCTGCGACGGGGCCGAGGCTCCAGCACCAAGGATAGCGCCTCGAGCCTGCCCCTCGGCTGTGACCGGGCGCCAAGCCCGTGGGCAGAGGTTTGAGATTTGACCTGCAATGGCTACAGAGAGGGGTGACACAAAAGGGGGGGGTGAGTGACGATGCGAAGAATGAGGAAAACGAGGCGGAGGAAACAGAAAAGAGGGGCATAGAAGGGAAGGGAGATGGGCTCCTGCCGCCTTCTGAGCCTTGCCTCGCGTTCTTGCTGTACCTCTCGAGGTCCCTCTGCAGCTCGGACTTAACGTACTTACTCCCAATGAGCACAGCCTCCAGCTTGACGTCGTACACGGAATGGTGGCCATCGTGCCCTGCCGTGTGGATGCGGGCCGGGAACCAGCTCCCGCGTTTCTGGGAGAAGACGCTCGCCGACTCAGTTTCCATCAAGGGCACGCGCAGATCCACGAGGCCCACGTTCCGAACGGTCTGCTCGGCCGCTGCCACGTAGATGTCGAAGCAGGGCGCGTCGAAATTCAGGGCATCGTCGTAGTACGTTGTGTCCCTGATAGCGGTGATCTTGGCTGGCAGCCATGACTGTATTGTCCTCGACCAGAACTCCACCAACTGCCCATTGTGGAAGAGCTGGTCCGAACTTGGGTCGTCCGGATATACGTAGCACGACCTTTTCATCCTCTCGCCAGTCACTGCCCTGTTGTCGATTTTCAGATCGAAAGAGAACCAGGCCATGTGGCTGCCGTCCTGCATCCACTGGCGCTCTCTCCAAGTGAGGTTGTCGATATCGCCGTCGAAGATAGGATCTTCTGAGATCTCCTCAAATGGAGCCTCTCAAACGGGGCCAGGGCACATGGAGTCGGAGGATCGCTCAGTATGTCCGATACATGACCGATGCATCAAACACGTCGGGATGCATAACGTAAGTCGCCGATGCGGCGCGATCTTCCAACCCCATCTACGGCAAGTCAGCGTCGGTATGACGTCGACGTCAGCGTCAGCTTCTGACACCACTTGAACCGTTCAAACTTTAAAGGTCGCAACCTTCCGATCGTGAAAAACGATCTGGATCGGCCGATTTTTGAAGCCACTGGTGGCGTTCAGTCTTGAACGCGGGCACTAGGGTCGCCGCCGCGTCACTGCGCTGCGAACCTGCCGCGCAGTGGTCCCATTTGGGAAGCCTGGGCTCCAAGTAGGACACCTCGACGCCAGCTCGGCGCAACCTTTTTGGCACGAGGGAGAAGCCAACTCCTGGTAGAAACGGGCACTGCCTCCCAACCCGATCCCTTGCTTGAAGGTCCCCGGGCCTCGGGAGGGCCCCGGCAACCCGAAAAGAGCGAAACACCTCCAGGACTTGGTTCCCTCCAAGAAAGGTTTGCTGCGTGCGCGGCGCTTTGAAGCCCTGAGCCCGATGTTTGCACGCGGTGACTCCAAACAGTGGGCGGTTGAACTACTGTCTGTGTCTACTCGATGTGGCGCAGTGGATGGGGTGCAATATGCGTGGTGCATGTTATGAGGCGCGATCTGCGTGGTACAAGCTACGCGGTGCAACCTGTGAAACGCAACATAAGCAGTGTAGCCGAATGCGTGCAATATGTACTCAGAGCTTGAAGTCGCCGACTCCAGCGATCGGGAACCCGCCCGCCCGACACAATAACCGAGTACCACCGAGATTAATGCCACAGAGATAATAAAGTTCGGGGTTGCGGGGGGATATAAATGTTGCCTACCGGAGGCCAGCATGTGGGAGGAGAAAGAGATGAAGTTAAAAGGACCGAAAGCCGAGGATCGAGGATCGAAGTCCGAGGATCGAGATCCCAGAGTCGAGGATCGAGGTCCGAAGATCGACGGCGGCGAGGTCCAAGGATCGAGGATAGAGGTCCGAGGGTCGAAGATCGAGGTCCGAGGATCGAGGTCCAGGGTGCCAGGGGGAGAAGGAGGAAGACAGAGGGAGACAGAGACAGAAAAATAAACATATAGTTACAGAGAGAGAGGAGCAACAAAAAGTAAATACATATAAACCGACAGAAGGAAAGAGGAGGAGGAGGAGGAAGAGGAGGAGGATAATCCAAACCTATTAAATTTAAGTTGGAAGCAAACAGTGAAACATAAGAGTTTCATCTGCTCGTGTAGGGTGCCTCATGTGTCTCGGTTTTCGTGGATGGTAAACCACAGCGATAAACAAAAAGTTCAGGGTGCCAGGGGGGAAGGAGGAATACATATAGAGACACATACAGACATATACATATAGTTCGACAGAGAGAGAGACATAAAAAACATAGACAGACAGAAGGAGAGAGAGAGAGAGAGGAGGAAGAGGAGGAGGAGGAGGAGGAGGATAATCCAAACCTATTAAGTTTAATTTGAAAACAAAGAATGGCAATTCAGAGTTTCATCTGCTCGTGAGAGGGTAGCTCACGTGCCTCGGTTTTCGTGGATGGTAAACCACAACGATTAAAAACATTCAGGGTGCCAGGGGGAAAAGGAGGAAGACAGATAGATACATATACAGACATATACATATAGTTCGACGGAGAGAGAGAGAGAGAGAGAGAGAGAACAAAAAAAAAAAAAAAAAAAAAAAAAAAATATAGACAGACATAAGGAGAGAAAGAGAGAGAGAGAGAGAGAGAGAGAGGAGGAGGAGGAGGAGGAGGAGGAGGAGGAGGAGGAGGAGGAGAAAAGCCAAAGTTCCAAAACTATTAAATTCAATTTGTAAACGAACAATGGAAATTCAGATGTTCATCTGCTCGTGTAGGGTGCCTCATGTGTCTCGGTTTCCGTGGATAGTAAACCACAGCGATAAAAACAGTTCAGGGGGCCAGGGGGAAAACGGAGAAAGACAGAGACAGAGAAAAAGAGAGACCGAGACAAAGAGAGAGAGAGAGAGACATAGAGAAAGAGAGGGAGAGAGACAAAAAAAAACGAGAGAGGAGGAGGAGGAAAAGGAGGAGGAGGAGGAATTCTCTCATCAGCAAGTCTCTCGCTTCGCTTGAGACATCCTCGAAGAATTGTTGGCTCCGCTTGAGGCATCCTTGAAGAACTGATCGTTTCACTTGGGGCTGCCTCCAAAAAATGTTGGTTTCGGTTGAGACATCCTCGGCACCGCCTTCGCTTCGGTTGATGCTGCTATCTCAACATAAGAAGGAAGTTGACCTCGATGGTGAACTTTTCAGAATGATAAACAAACAGTTCGGCCTCCGCGCCCCGCGCCCCTGACCAAACTCTTTTTGGCCGTGGGTAATCAACTCTAGCGTGTTAAAGGGTGTCTTTTTTATCAGCAGCAGTTGGTTACTCCAGAGGCGACGAAGGCAAGGGGAGCGCGAATGACCAGCGCGTTGCGGCCCTATGGATACGATAACGACGATAACGGCGGCGGTGATGAAAATGACGGTGGTGATACGTAGACGACAATGGCGGCGGCGAGCCAGCGAGACAGCATCGCAACGAAGACGACGGGGCGTTAACGATAATGGCGGTCAGGCTGACAACTACGGTGGCCAGGGGTGGTGACAATGGTGGCGGCGACGCTGATGATGCAACGCTGAAAAGGACGATGGGGAAGAGCGAGGCGGGCGTGGTCTCGCAAGCCCGGTTGGGCCAGCACATCTTGCTCGCTACTTCAAGAAAGAAACACCACTCGTGCCCCCCGCTGCCTCTGCCTGCGCCTAGGTGTCTGTCTCTGTCTCTCTGTCTCCCCCTCTCTCTCTCTCTCTCTCTCCATCTCTCTCTCTCTCTCGTTTTCTCTCTCTCGCTCTCTCTCTCTCTCTCTCGTTCTCTCGTTCTCTCTCTCTCTCTCTCGTTCTCTCGTTCTCTCGTTTTCTCTCTCTCTCTCTCTCTCTCTCTCGTTATCTCTCTCTCTCTCTCTCTTTCTCTCTCTCTCTCTCTTTCTCTCTCTCTCTTCTCTCTCTCTCTCTCTCTCTCTCTCTCTCTCTCTCTCTCTCTCTCTCTCTCTCTCTCTCTCTCTCTCCTCTCTCTCTCTCTCTCTCTCTCTCTCTCTCGCTTGCGCTCGCTCTCTGCATCGCTCCCCGCGCAGCTGCTGCCGTGGAAGGTACCCCCCCCCTCCGCCCCCCCCCCCCCCCCGTTCGAGACCAGATTAGGCGCGCCCCGATCTGCCCAGGCTCGCCCCCCCCCCCCCCCCCGAGCAGATCCCCGCATCCTACGGGGACAGCCTGGCAAGCGAAGCCGATCTGGACCCAGAATCCTGGTCAAGGGTGCTCGGTTGCTGGAAAAAAACAGTTTCTAACACTCGAGACTCCCAAAACACTGAGAAAGCGCTTTCCTTGCACAACAATGTAACTACAGGCGCTATCATACGCAATTGACAAGATATTACATTCTACGCTGGCAGACTGGCAAAGTGCCTCAAAGATCGGGACATTCTGCCACAGGGCAGTCACTGTAGAAGGAATTCTGTGCAAGCGAAGCGGTCTAGGGCCAAAACCTGGCGTGCCAGTTGACAACAGGTCGATTCCAAGCACATGAGCGCCGCGCATTTGCAGCGCGCTGCGGCGGGACAGCAGCCCCAATGTCGGGCCGATCCGCGGACAGGCGCACCACCCCCCAGCAGGGCCATCAGTGGCCCGACAGCAGGGGGCCTCGCCGCGGCGGCGGTGGCGAGGATGGTGGGATTGGACGCGAGTGTGCGTGGCGGTGGTGGCGCTGGGGGCGGGGGGCGCAGTGGCGGTTGTGGACGCAGAGGCAGCGGCGGCGACACCAGTGGCAGTAGTCCTATTGGCAGCGGTGGCCGCACTACTGGCGGTAGTCGTGGCAGCTGTGGTTTTGGCGGTGGGAAGTAAGGGTGGCGGCGGTAGCCGCGGCGGTGGCGGGAGCGGTGGTCGCAGTAGTGTTTGTAGCTGATGTACGCGGTGAAAGTGGCAGTCGTCTTGGTAGTAGTAGTGGTGGGCGAGTTCGTGGCAGTAGCAACAGCGGCGGCGGGGGCGGGGGCAGCTATGCAGAAGCGGCGCCGATGGCGGCGGCATTGCTGGCGGTGGTGGACATGGGGGCGGCGGGCGGCGGTTGTGGAGAGTGCAATGGCGGCAGCAGCAGCAGCGCCACCTGTGCCCCCAAAAACTCCCTGTAATTTTCCTCTCCCGCAGGCTGGGGCGCCCGCCTGCGTGGGCTCCGCGCAGGCCCCCGCCGCAATCAGGGATCAGGGGCTTCCAAGTTAGGGCTTCTGGGGCCTGGGCCCCCCGCGGTCTCGAGGGCCTCGGGCGCCACACCTCGCCGCCCCCGAGGCTTCCCAAGGAACCAGGGGCTGGCGGCGCCAGGGCGTCCCCAAACGGGGAGGGGGGAGGGGGGGTGCCTGCTGTCTCGTTCGTCTGGGGGGGGCATCTATCCTCTGCGCCAAGCCTCTCCCCGCCTGGGGGGCCCCTAGGGGCCCCTCAGGAGAGGCCCCCAAGAAGGCCCCCAGGGGCCCTGTGGGAGGCCCGGGATGCAGGAGGCCCCCGGGAGGTTCCCGAGAAGTGGGAGAATAGCTGCTGAAGGGGCAATCACTGTAGACAGAATTCTGTGCAAATAGAGCTGTTTAGTCCCAATGCGGGCTTTGCTTATTGACAAGTTCTTGGTTTTAGGCAAACGGGCGCCGTCCATGAGGGGCGATTCGGGCTTCCTGGAAGGGGGCCTTCTGAGCGCCTCCTACTGGAAAGGGAAGCGCTTGGCGCGCAGTGGGCCACGCTGGCAGACGCAGATGCGCGCTGGGACCAAAGTACGCCTCAGGGGCCATGAGGGCCCCGCGGGCCCTGGAGCCGCAAGCCCCGGGCCCCCTCGAAAGCCCCAAGGACGCCGAGGCCCTGGCTCTGGAGGCGCCCTGGAAGCCCCTGATCCCTTATGGCCACGGGGGGCCCTCGAGGCCCGCGCGGAGCCCTCGCGCCCGGAGAGGTGGCGGCCCGAACCCTTAGGAAGGGGAAAGAAGAGGGGGGGCGCTCCCCCTGCTGCTGCTGCCGGTGCCACCGCTGCCACAAACACAACCACCGCCGCCGCCACCACCACTGCCACTATTGCACAAGCCACCAATACCACCATTACCCCCGCCGCTGCCAGCAGCACTTTTACCCAGTTCTACTGCCGCCGCCGCCGCCGCCGCCGCCGCTGCGCCTGCAACTGCCACCTCCACCGCTACCCCACCATTGCCCCCGCCCCCGCCGCCGCCACTACTACTACATGCGCCACCACAAGCCACCACACCACCACCACCACCACCCACCCACCCACCCTCACTACC